TATGGTAAAATTGGGTGGTCATGGCGCGGACATATGCCGACAGCAAATGGTCCGCATGGTTCTCAGGGTACATAATAATGATTCATATACAAAACACATGCTCATGATATATAGTCAGCATCTTACAACCGACTCTTCTTGGCGCAGTTTTTGATCTAGTTTCATAGCTTGACCACCTGGTAGTCAATGTTATCAAACAATGATTTTTACCGCATAGGTAATAAGCATGACCTATATATATAAGATATAAGATATCTTATATATATATGTCATGCTTATAAATATATCAGAGTCGGGCGCCTATGTTTTTACCGCTATTACCACTGCTGTCACTTTTCATAACCGTCATTGAAACACACTGTCTATATAACAGTACTGCCATTGGGATTACTTTGTATTGATTGTATTGATTGCAAACCTGGTTTGATTACCAAATTTAACGTTATATCGGCTCCCGCTTACGCGTATATCCACTGGTATACGTCCCGAATTCGTCAAACAGTACAGTTATCCCCTAATTGTTAACTGTAGAACATTCCTTTTCTGGGGTAACGCATAGTTTCACCTGGAATTTTAACATCTAACAGTACCCGTTATATTAATAGTCACGACCTGATCAGTGTACAGTCACACCCAAATTTGGGTAATACAGTCATTTTCTGCTGTGGTTCCTGCGACGTTGCTATGTAGCAATTTCTACCTAACTCCAATATCTATCGGCCTGTTTTATGCGTGATATGCCATGTACATCTCACAGTAGGGTAGCGCAAGTAACACTGTCAGGATGAAGTAGGGCGTGAATGAATGTCTCCCTGTCCTATATAGCTACAGACTACTGCTTTTGTCATCTGAATATGCGACAAAAAATAGATACAGGTCACACTCGTGAAAAGATTTTACTTTCGGTTTAGCATTTCCTGTATTAGATGGGATGCAAAGGCAGAAATATTTGATGCCGCTATATTGCTCGTTGTCATTGATCTTGGGATTCATGATCATCTCGCATGCGTACTTGTGATTTCAGATCAATGAAAAGACAGGGTTTGGGGAGACAGCTGACGTTTCGATGAGGAAATAGGTAGGTGTTTATTTTTCATTTGTTGACCCTCGGCGTGTACGAGAGAATGTTGCATTGCTTGGACTAACACATTTAAATCTTAATTTCGTCATTAAAATGTCAGTTTCCTAACATATTTTACATGACCCATGAGAGATCACGCAGTTCTGTTTTGTCTTAAGACTGAGATACGGAGTTGTCGTTTCCACTTCATGAGGAATTGATCTGGTTGTTGGTACTGCCCTTCCGGGTCATGGTGACCTACCTTATCCTGGCGTGTACCTTGAATATAGGTGTTCTATTTTTAGAATCACTTTCCACGTAAGGTATAAATGAGTCTCCTTAACTGCATTAGCTGGCTTTTATAGACGGGGTGTGGACAAACAGGGGTATAAGTCACTTTTAAGTCTACTTCCCTACCAGACTGTCAGAGCTGATCGGGGTCAAAAACTGAGTACAAAACAGAGACATTTCAAGATTCTTTTTGCCCATGCCTCAGGGCGGATGCAGCTTTTTTTAGCAAGGGGTGTGTGTGGGGTGGGGGTGGGGGTGCTTACTATTGAGAAAAGGGAGGGTGCACATTTCATTTTCACCCGAGTTTCAATGATCATTTAATAAAATTTCAGGACAAAAATGGGGGTGCGCACCCTGCAACCCCTTCTGGATCCGCCTATGTGCCTCAACATACATATTCAATGAATCATTCATCACTAGACGATCGTTAAGTGTTACTGTTACTATAATATTTAATACTAGAGTACAAGTTTCATGCATAATACATTTGAAAAGGTACTGGGCAGCAGCATTTGAAGTGAGCTATAACGGTTATTTTTGTGTCACGAAAAATGGAGCAAATGCGAACACACGTGGCCTACAATTACACCCGGAAAATAACAACAAAAGTTATATGTGTCTTATCCCTGCAAATTTATCCATCACAACAAATAAATATGATAAAATTACATTTCACACTGAGAAAATATTTAGCCCATGTAGCCACAAATGTTTGACATAGACTGTGACGCCCGCAGTGACCATTGTTTACTTCTGCATACCAGGCAATATACATTTGTAAATCTGGACCAAGCAAGGCATAAACTGTAAAGCTGTCACTAAGAACTCTTATTTATCCCTTTTTAACATATGTTATACTTTGGGATTACACTTTCTTAGTATAGTACAAATCTAGTACTTTTAAGAAAGTTGAGCGCGCAACTCAAAAGTACTAGAATTTTACCTTACTAAGAAAGTGTAATCCCAAGATATAACATATGTTACATTTGACCACTTTCTTCTAAAATGGTATTGTGTATTTCTAGTTTTTAGTTCAGCAGATCGGAATGATTCATCATGTACATGTTAAAAAAAAAAAAAAGAGTTCTCATAACATATCGAGACGAGTAAAAAATAAAATATACTTTCGATAGCCAAAAAGCGGCAGAGAATATACCAATGGAAACCATGACAGCCGCTATGTAGCCAAACGTACGTGTGTAGTTTTGAATCTTCATTGGTGTATGGTTCCTGTCTCTATCAAATCCTTCTCTTTATTGTACACAGGTCTGTTGATGTGAAAACCACCGATACACATTTTACAGTGTTCTGAATAACTCACACATAACTCATCGATCAAATATCAAACCAGCTTCCCTGAGTGTTTAACGCTTAATGGAGTCATCTATAGAGAGATACGACCTGCAACAGTGAAAATTAGCCGTTGTAAAACACGATCGATTGTAAAAACGTGCCAGCTACCATCCGCTTCATCGTCACCAGTTTAGGAGTTATGACCCACGAAAACCTGTTTCAAATACAAGATGTTCATCTACTTATTACTCATCATTCTCCACGTTTCAGTGACCGGTGAATCAAACTCGGTGTACCCAGGGAAGTAGAAGCCGCTGAATCCCGTTACAGAGTGGTGGTAGATGAACGTTTGTTGAAGCGAGACTGTACATGCATAGGGGGACATTCATTACTTCCACATCTATAATGGCAAAATTGTCGTCCACACCACAAATCTACAGGAAGTGAGTGTCAAAGTTGGCTTTAGAGACTGTCTGTACCATGTTGGCGAGCAACATTGGCGACACATTATCTGTACACAGATGCAAAGTGCAAGCTTGAAGACTGTTCCAAAGGATTTTCTCAGGAAGAAAACCTTGATGCCTGTGGATGAAAAACGTTTGTATCGAGAACACTGTTGAGACCATAGAGAATACAAAGGAGGACGAGGTCCAACAGAAAGCTTAACGATGACGACCATTGATTCCTTATTGCGGCTGACTGGCTCGTATCGAAATGCAAATATACAAAACGGATCGATCCCACGTAGCGTTTCAATCTGTAACACAGAGCTCAGTGTTGAAGACGGTCAGCGGCGGGACAACCTGAAAATGGCATGTGGTTGAAGATGGTATTACAGTGTATTTCCTGAAGTGGCCCGAGTATCACTCCAATTCTCGACCTACAACTGCGGGTTGACAGAATGTTGAGCGAAGACCTCATTTGAAACTCCCACTGCGGTCTTCCAATGAAATGTTGGATGGTTCATACGTCACGCGTTGCGGTTCAACAAAAGATGGGTAGCGAGCTGCTCGGCTCCACGAGGCGAATTCCAGATGTCAGAATACTTTTAACGCGCGCTTACCGCTACGTCTCTACCTGAAATGGGTTTTCTGGACCTCTAGCCCGGGCCTTACAAGTATGGAACACCCAGTACCGGATGGTAAGGATATGTCCCCAGAAATAGAAGCACTACCTGGTTGTTATGAGGCACCATGTTTGCGTTCTGGACGGAGCCAGCTATATCCCTGCTAATCGCTGCCACAACACAATCAATATCGGGTCAGTATTGTGTCGTAGTCTTTACAGTAGTAACAACAGCCCCTGATTAACTTCTTTCACGTCCGACCAAGTGTATCATGGACGGTGGAAAAGAAACCTGGTCTGCGGCTCCAGGGACAACCAGGCAGCAACTGACTCGAGTTGCCATGGAAACTCAAGGCCTATGGGCAAATGCCGGTAGACAACCAGATTGCTGCCGCTCAAAGGCTATGGAAAACCAAGCATCTATTGTACAGGGATCTGTAGAGAACCAGATTGCTGCCGGCTCCAAAGACTGTGGAGACCCAGGCCTCTCTTGGACAAGGATCTGTGAAACAACCAGATTACTGCCAGCCTCAAAGGCTGTGGAGACCCAGGCCTCTCTTGGACAAGGATCTATAGACAACCAGATTGCTGCCGGCTCAAAGATTGTGGGAGACCCAGGCCTCTCTTGGACCAAAGGGTCTGTAGACAACCAGATTGCTGCCGGCTCAAAGATTGTGGAGACCCAGGCCTCTCTTGGATGGGGGTCTGTAGACAACCAGATTGATGCCAGCTCAAAGGTTATTGAAATCTGCTTCCTCGTACATGGTCTGTAACCAGATTGATGCCAGCTCAAAGGCTGGCGCGGAGACCCAGGCCTCTCTTGTACAGGGTCTGTAGACAACCAGATTTAACGCCGGCTCAAAGGCTATGAAAGGAAAACCAAGCCTCTCTTGGACAAGGGTCTGTAGACGGCCAGATTGGATGCTAGTTCAATTGCTAAGTGAAAACCAAGCATCTGGCAGGGTCTGTAGACAACCAGATCGATGCCGGAGCAAAGGCTATGCAAATCGGTTTTCCCTCTGGACAAGGGTCTGCTTAGACGACCAGATTGATGCCAGCTCAAAGGCTATGGAAAACCAAGCATCTGTTGTACAAGGGTCTGTTCACAGTCAGACTGTAACCGACTCAAATGCTATTGAAATCCAAGCCTCTCTTGTACAAGGGTCTGTTAGGAAGTAGCGTGGGTTGCTTCACCGTCTCAAAGGCTATGGAAAAACCAAGCCTTTTCTTCAACAAGGACCAGTGAGCCAGCCAGATTGCTGCCGGCTCAAAGGCTATGGAAAACCAGGTCTCTTTTTTAGAACGACCTGTAAGAAAGCCACGTCTGCTGCCGACTCAAATGCTATTGAAATCAAGCCTTTCTTGAACAAATGCCTGTAGACCTTAAGACTGCTGCCGGCTTAAGTATTGTAGGGAAACCAGGCCTCTCTTGTGCAAGGACCTGTGGAGCAGTCCAGATCTGTTGCCGCCCCTCAAAGGCTGTAGAAAACAAAGTCACTTCTTTCAACAAGGACCAGCAGACAGCCAAATTGCCGCCGGTCCGAAGGCTATGGAAAACCAAGGCCTCTCTTCTACAACGACCTGTAGAAAGCCAGATTGGATACCGGCTCAAAGGCTATGCAAAATCCAGAAGCCTCTTGGACAAGGGTCTGTAGACGACCAGATTGGATGCCAGACTCAAAGGCTATGGAAAACCAAGCATCTGTTGTACACGAGTCTGTTCACGGATCGTGACTGCTGCCGACTCAAATGCTAGTGAAATCCCAACCTCTCATTACAAGGGTCTGTTGATAGCGTGAACACTGCTCGTCTCAAAAGGCTATGGAAAACCAAGCCTTTCTTCTAACAAGGGACCAGTGCAGACAGCCAGATTGCTGCCGGCTCAAAGGCTATAAACCAGGTCTCTTTTGTAGAACGACCTGTGTAGAAAGCCATACCTCGCTGCTGACCTCAAATGCTATTGAAATCCAAGCCTTTCTTTGAACAAATGCCTGTGAACCTTAAGACTGCTGCCGGCTTAAGGGCTGTAGAAACCCAGGCCTCTCTTGTGCAAGGACTGTAGCAGACAGTCAGACTGTTGCCGCCTCAAAGGCTGTAGAAAGTGAAGTCACTCTTCAGCAAAGGGACCAGCAGAACCCAGCCAAATTGCTTGCCGGGTCGAGGCTATGGAAAACCAGGCCTCTCTTCTACAACGACCTGTAGAAAGCCAGATTGCGTGCCGGCTCAGGCTGAAATCCGAGCCTCTCTCTTGGACAAGGGTCTGTAGACGACCAGATTGATGCCACAGTCAAAGGCTATGGAAACCAAGCATCTGTTGTACAAGGGTCTGTTCACAGTCAGACTGCTGCCGACTCAAATGTATTGAAATCCAAGCCTCTCTTGCAACAAGGGTCTGTTGATAGCGTGGTTGCTACCGTCTCAAAGGCTATGAAAGCCAAGCGCTGCTTCAGCAAGGACCAGTAGACAGCCAGATTGCTGCCACCGGCTCCAAGGCTAAGTGGAAAACCTTGTCTCTTTGTAAGAACGACATGTAGAAAGCCATGCCTGCTGCCGACTCAAATGCTATTGAAATCCAAGCCTTTCTTGAACAAATGCCTGTGAACCCAGCAAGACTGCTGCCGGTTTAAGGGCTGTAGAAACCCAGGGCCTCTCTCTTTGTACTAGGACCTGTAGACAGTCAGAGATCTGTTGCCGCCTCAAAGGCTGCTTGAAAACAAAGTCTCTCTTCCAGCAAGCGACCAGCGAACCAGCCAAATTGCCGCCGGTCCGAAGGTTGGCTGGAAAACCAGGCCTCTTCTACAACGACCTGTAGAAAGCCAGATTGATGCCGGCTCAAAGGCTATGCAAATCGAAACCTCTCTCTTGGACAAGGGTCTGTAGACATGACAGATTGATGCCAGCTCAAAGGCTATGGAAAGTAAGCATCTGTTTGTACAGGGTCTGTTCACAGTCAGACTAAGCTGCCGACTCAAATGCTATTGAGAATCCAAGCCTCTCTTGTACAAGGGTCTGTTGATAGCGTGGTTGCTACCGTCTCAAAGGCTATGGAGAAACCAAGCCTTTCTTCAACAAGGACCAGTAGACAGCCAGATTGCTGCTTAGGCTCAAGGCTATGGAGAAAACCAGGTCTCTTTTGTAGAACGACCAGTAGAAAGCCATACTGCTGCCGACTCAAATGCTATTGAAATCCAAGCCTTTCTTGAACAAATGCCTGTAGACAGCAAGACTGCTGCCAGGGAGCCCAGGGCTCAATGTAGAAACTCAGGCCTCTCTTGTACAAGGACCTGTAGACAGTCAGACTGTTGCCGCCTCCAAGGCTGTAGAAAACAAAGTCTCTCTTCAGCATGTAAGGACCAGCAGACGGCCAAATTGCCGCCGGTCCGAGAGGCTATGGAAAACCAGGCCTCTCTTCTACAACGACCTGTAAGAAAGCCAGATTGATGCTTCGGCTCAAAGGCTATGCAAATCGAAGCCTCTTGGACAAGGGTCTGTAGACGACCAGATTGATGCCAGCTCAAGGCGCTGCGGAAAACCAAGCATGCTGGTTGTACAGGGGTGTTCACGGTCAGACTGCTGCCGACTCAAATGCTATTGAAATCAGCCTCTCTCTTTACAAAGGGTCTGTTGATAGCGTGGCTGCTACCCAAATCTCAAAAGGCTATGGAAAACCAAGCGCTGCTTCAACAAGGACCAGTAGACAGCCAGATTGCTGCCGGCTACAAGGGCTATGGAAAACCAGGTCTCTTTTGTAGAACGACCCGTAGTAAGCCATACTGCTGCCGGACTCAAATGCTATTGAAATCCAAGCCTTTCTTGAACCAGTGCCTGTAGACAGCTTGAGACTGCTGCCGGCCCAGGGCTGCAGTAGAAACCCAGGCCTCTCTTGTACAGCGGACCTGGCAGACCTTGATCAGACTGTTGCCGCCTCAAAGGCTGTGGTAGAAAACAAAAGTCTCTTCTTCAGCAAGGACCAGCAGACAGCCAAATTGCCACCGCCGGTCCGAAGGCTATGGAAAACCAGGCCTCTCTTCTACACAACGGGCCTGTAGAAAGCCAGATTGATGCCGGCTCAAAGGCTATGCAAATCGAAGCCTCTCTTGGACAAGGGTCTGTAGACGACCAGATTGATGCCAGCTCAAAGGCTAGTGGAAACCGGCATCTGTTGTACAGAGGTCTGTTCACAGCTCGAACTGCTGCCGACTCAAATGCTATTGAAATCCAAGCCTCTCTTGTACAAGGGTCTGTTGATAGCGTGGTTGCTGCAGTGCAAAGGCTATGGAAAACCAAGCCTTTCTTCAACAAGGACCAGTAGACAGCCAGATTGCTGCCGGCTCCGAAACTGTGGAAAACCTTGTCTCTTTGTGTAAAACGTGACCTGGAGAGCTTTTCATACTACTGCTGCCGACTCAAAATGCTATTGAAATCCAAGCCTTTCTTGAACAAATGCCTGTGGTAGCGACAGCAAGACTGCTGCCGGTTTGTTAAGGGCTGTAAAGAACTGGGCTCTCTTGTACAAGGACCTGTAGACGATCAGGACTGTTGCCGCCTCAAAGGCTGTAGAAACAAAGTCTCTTCTTCAACAAGGACCAGCAGACAGCCAAATTGCCGCCGGTCCGAAGGTTGCTATCGTGAGCCTCGGCTTCTACAACGACCTGTAGAAAGCCAGATTGATGCCGGCTCAAAGGCTGTAATCGAAGCCTCTCTTGGACAAGGGTCTGTAGACGACCAGATTGATGCCAGCTCAAAGGCTATGAAGAGCCAAGCATCTGTTGTAACAGGGTCTGTTCACAGTCAGACTGCTGCCGACTCAAATAGCTATTGAAATCCAAGTTTCCTATAGCGTTAAGGATATGCTTGATAGCGTGGTTGCTTACCGTCTCGAGGCTATGGAAAACCAAGCCTTTCTTCAACAAGGACCAGTAGACAGCCAGATTGCTGCCGGCTCAAAGGCTATGGAAAACCAGGTCTCTTTTGGCCAAGAACCTGTAGAAAGCCATGCTGCTGCCGACTCAAAATGCTATTGAAATCCAAAGCTTCTTGAACAAATGCCTGTAGACAGCAAGACTGCTGCCGGCCCAAGAATGTAGAAACCAGGCCTCTCTTGTACAAGGACCTGTGAGACAGTCAGACTGTTGCCGCCCTCAAAGGCTGTAGAAACAAAGTCTCTCTTCAACAAGGACCCAAAGCATGACAGCCAAATTGCCGCTGCGCCGGTCCGAAGGCTATAAGAGAACTGCCGGCCTCTCTTCTGGCCAACGACCTGTAGAAAGCGGAATTGATGCCGGCTCAAAGGCTGTACAAATCGAAGCCTCTCTTGGACAAGGGTCTGTAGACGACTAGATTGATGCCAGCTCAAAGGCTATGGAAAACCAAGCATCTGTTGTACGCAAGGGTCTGTTCACGATCCGACTGCTGCTGACCCTTCAAAATGCTATTGAAATCCAAGCCTCTCTTTGTACAAGGGTCTGTTGATATGCGTGGTATGCTGTCTCCAAGGCTATGGAAAACCAAGCCTTTCTTCAGAAAAAAGCAAAAGGACCGAAAGTGAACAGCCTGGGTGCTGCCGGCTCAAAGGTTGCTATGGAAAACCAGGTCTCTTTTGGCAAGAACGACCTGTAGAAAGCCATACTGCTGCCGGACTCAAATGCTATTGAAATCCAAGCCTCTTCTTGAACAAATGCCTCGTGAACAGCAAGATCTGCTGCCGGCTTAGGGCTGTAGAAACTCAGGCCTCTCTTGGTACCAAAGCGTACCTGTAGACAATCCAAGACTGTTGCCGCCTCAAAGGCTGGCAGAAAACAAATCTCTCTTCAACAAGGACCAGCAGACAGCCAAATTGCGTCGCCGGTCGAGAGGCTATGGAAAAACCAGGCCTCTCTTCTACAACGACCTGTAGAAAGCCAGATTGATGCCGGCTCAAAGGCTGGTGCAAATCGAAGCCTCTCTTGGACAAGGGTCTGTAGACGACCAGATTGATGCCAGCTCAAAGGCTATGGAAAACCAAGCATCTGTTGTACAAGGGTCTGTTCACAGTCAGACTGCTGCCGATCTCAAAATGCTATTGAAATCCAAGCCTCTCTTGTACAAAGGGTCTGTTGGATAAGCGTGGTTGCTACCGTCTCAAAGGCTATGGAAAACCAAAGCCTTTCTTCAACAAGGACCAGTAGACAGCCAGATTGCTGCCGGCTCAAGGCTATGGAAAACCAAGGTCTCTTTTGTAGAACGACCTGTAGAAAACTTCATACTGCTGCCGACTCAAATGCTATTGAAATCCAAGCCTTCTTGAACAAATGCCTGTAGACAGCAAGACTGCTGCCGGCTTAAGGGTTGTGGTAGAAACCCAGGCCTCTCTTGTACAAGGACCTGTAGACAGTCAGACTGTTGCCGCCTCCAAAGCTTTGTGGAAAACAAAGTCTCTCTTCAACAAGGACAGCAGACAGCCAAATTAAGCCGCCGGTCCGAAGGCTATGGAAAACCAGGCCTCTCTTCTACAACGACCTGTAGAAAGCCAGATTGATGCCGGCTCAAAGGCACATGCAAATCGAAGAAGCCTCTCTCTTGAGGTCTGTAGGGCAGGCAGATTGATGCTAGCTCAGCAGTATGGAAAACCAAGCATCTGTTTGTACAAGGTGTCTGTTCACAGTCAGACTAAGCTGCCGACCTCGAAATGCTAGTGAAATCAAGCCTCTCTTGGCCTGAGGTCTGTTGATAGCGTGGTTGCTACAGTCTCAGCGTTGCTATGGAAAACCAAGCCTTTCTTCAACAAGCGACCAGTAGGACAGCCAGATTAAGCTGCCCGACAAGGCAATATGGAAAACCAGGTCTCTTTTATCAAACGACCTGGGAGAAAGCCATACTGCTGCCGACCCAAATGCTATTGAAATCCAAGCCTTTCTTGGAACAAATGCCTGTAGACAGCAAGACTGCTGCCGGCTTGTAGGGCTGTAGAAACTCGGGCCTCTCTTGGCCTGGGACCCGTAGACAGTCCAGACTGTTGCCGCCTCAAAAGGCTGTAGAAAACAAAGTCTCTCTTCAACAGGGACCAGCAGACGTAAAATTGCCGCCGGTCCGAAGGCTATGGAAAACTGGTGGCCTCTCTTCTACAACGACCTGTAGAAAGCCAGATTGATGCCGGCTCAAAGGCATGCAAATCGAAGCCTCTCTTGGACAAGGGTCTGTGAGACGACCAGATTGATGCCAGCTCAAAGGCTATGGAAAACCAAGCATCTGTTAAAATAAGGGTCTGTTCACAGTCAGACTGCTGCCGACTCAAAATGCTATTGAAATCCAAGCCTCTCTTGTACAAGGGTCTGTTAATAAGCGTGGTTGCTACCGTCTCAAAGGCTATGTGAAAACCAAGCCTTTCTTCAACAAGGACCAGTAGACAGCCAGATTGCTGCCGGCTCAAAGGCTGGCGGAAAACCAGGTCTCTTTTGTGGGAACGACCTGTGAAAGCCATACTCGCTGCCGACTCAAAATGCTATTGCAAATCCAAGCCTTTTCTTGAACAAATGCTCTGTAGACAGCAAGACTGCTGCCGGCAGGGCTGTAGAAACCCAGGCCTCTCTTGTACAGGGCCTGTGAATTGATCAGACTGTTGCCGCCTCCAAAGGCTTTGTGAAAACAAGAATCTCTTCTTCAACAAGGACCAGAACACGCCAAATTGCCGCCGGTCCGAAGGCTATGGAAAGGCTCAGGCCTCTTTTTGTACAACGACCTGTAGAAAGCCATTAGATTGCTGCCGGCTCAAAGGCTATTGAAAACCAAGCCTCCTCTTGGACAAGGACCAGTAGACCACAAGAATGCCGCCAAAATCGAAGCCTATGGTAAACCAGACTCTGGATAGTACTGTTGTCATGACTGGTTGAAGCCCACGCTCTTTGTGCCGGGACCACAAAGTGGTCAGGTTCCACGGTGTCTATGGAAAAAAAACCCACCTCTCTCTGGCGATGGGGCTACAAATAACCAGAATGATACTCATCAAGATTTGGGGTAAACCAAACATCTCCAGCTGCAGACTGGCAGTGAAACCACGCTGATAGTACATGGCAGGCTTCAGAAAACAGGAGACGCCCCAATACAAAACAACAGACTGACACTGAAATGATGATGCTGAAATCGGCTGTCGTGGTGGCAGGATCTTTGGATATCAAGGCAGGTGCGTGTCCAAGACTTTCGCCACCCAGGCATTTGTTGCATCAAGTGATAATTCTCCAAGGGATCAAATCCACGTGGTAGACCAAAAGACAAAGACACCCATCACTCAGGTGTCATTCGAAAGGAAGTCATTTCAGGACAAATCCATGCCTCCAAATTTAATGAAACTCGGTCCAACCAACATACCTGCTATACGGCTTTTCCTGGCAATGTTGAGATAGTGTCCCGTCACGCAGTGTCAAAGTCGCACAGTGTCCAGCCGCGCCAGAAGGAAAACATATGTACAAGCATGACGCCAGGGATCTTCACCAGCAAGACAGACGAAAACGTCATACAGGGAAGACGAAAGCACCATCCACTCTCAGACTTGAGACAGAGCACGAACACAACAATGGCTACAAGATGAGAAGGTAAAGAAACAGGTTGCTAAACACCGGATCAACTTGGCATCTCATGGTGAATGTACCTTTTACATATTTATACTCCATCTCTACTTTCTAAGATAAACGTTTTATATCTACATTCCAAAGAGTTGAAAGTGAAGTCATTTCCTTTGCATTGTTAATGCACTTCGTCGTTTTACATCTTATGACATATTGTCACAGATATGATCGCCGTGGAGAGAAGAAAAGTTCAGAAACGTCCATGACTCAGAATAATTCGAAGGCCAGCTGCCCAGACTGGAAGAACGTAAGTAATATCCGTATGAATCCTGTGTAAACTGTTAACTGTTAACTGCTGTCGTCATATGTCCGGCCAGGGTTATTGGAAATCATCACGTCTTGCGATCAGAGGGTTCTTCATGGCGGTCTCATATAATACTGCCACCTATTAGTAACGTTTGAAAATCAGAAACTATTGATTTTAGAAATTTTCACTTGCAAGTCCAGACTTGGGTGTAAGTTTCGTATAAATTTATATTTCGAGACGTGACGTCACAATTTTACTGGCTTTGTCAAACCACTTATAGATACATCAATACCATTTTCCAGATATCATATCACATCAAGCTGTATCTTCAGTCTGGTTCCTGGGGTCTGCTGTGCTAGCATTCTGCCCGGGAACCAGGCTGCCCTCCACCTTCAGCATCTTTCACAGCTGTGAATCACACACACATATATATGTACATTTGTTATTGTTTTTACCAGGTACCGCTTCCGCTCTTGCACCGCCTGTGTTGGCACTTTGCTTGAACACTGGTAGCAGCATTGACTTGATCGAACTAAAGCAGGTGTACTGTGTTATTCACTATTATACCCTCACTTCAGTAAACAGAGTATGGTGTTTGTGATGTTTTGTATCGTGTTTACTGAAGCATTGCCTGTCGTGGTATGGTTGGTATGACAATACTGTAAAGATCTGTCAGCAGCTTTCGTGTTTGACAGATATTTTAGCATTTAATAAATTTTTCTTTATATATTTAGAGCAAACATTGACATAAGACAGGTAACTATATAGTGAAAAGGTATTACAGACATAGATGCGTATATATACATAGTTATGACATTATTTATCCCACTCATTAGTTTATATTTGTATTCTGAATTGAAACGTAAATATGGACTGGATCGTGGAGTTTTCTCGTAATTAGAACATTGTCTTGGATTTGGGACCAGACCAGTTCCATGACGAAACAAGGGACTATTTATGGAGCAATGGTTCATCTTCTCTCCAAACAAGAAGGAAATGGCAGCTGGAAACGGTTAATGTAAAGTTCTCCAGGCTGTTCATCAAGATAATTCAGGGTTTTCATTGTTGTGCAATATGTTGTATAAATGGGGGCTTGTGGACTTTTAAAATAATTTGTTTCCCGTGATAGGAATGTAACTTATATGAACACAGGGGGCTTGTAACCTAAACACTGCCACCAAAGGTATTTTCTGTCACCGACGGGGTTTTTAGTAACTACTTTTTAGCTTTACAAGCCACTCTGCATACGGAATATGATTAACCCAGAGGAATTTGTTTTATCTGTCCAGAAGCAATTTCAGTATGTTTCTTTACTGTGGGTTTACACTTTCTCCAAGGAGAGTGATTGGGGTAGCGTAGTGAAGTTAAAGCGTTCGCTCGTCACGCCGAAGACCACAGGTTTCCGATTGTCAACTTTGGCACAAATGTGTGAAGACCATTTCTGGTGTCCCTCGTCGTGATATTGCTGGAATATTGCTAAAAGCTAAAACTAAACTCACTCACTCACTCAGGCATGCCCTCTAGGTAATGGACGCCATGAGACAAACCGCCACAATATGGTCGAGAGACGCTGAAGGCCGAGGGCAAGAAGATGGGGCATCTGCTACACTATTTCTCCCAGAGAAGACGAAGCGACGGATATCGTTAAGCTAATGGCCCAGATACATCAGATGTGATTTCTGCACAAACAGTGCAGCGCATGTCATCTGAGGCTGTTATCAAGGTCCACACTGGCTTTTGTTCATCGATGGCCTTTACGGTATTTGATATTCCCACTTCTTTCATTGTCGTAGTTGTTTAATCAGAATTATAAATATCCAAGCCTTTGTTAACTACATTGATAGTTGTCAACATGCAGTAAAGCTCATGCTAAAGTGTGTCTCCCTATGAGCACATATGCACCCTCTCATCATAGTTTTGTCTGCTTTCGAATTAGGAGTATGTAAATTATCTTTAATTATTTAGATTACGGTTACAAATATATGTTTATTATGGTCCTTAGTCCTCAAATGTAGGTTTACCTGGCAAATAGATTATACAACGTGGATTCTGAACCAACATATGATGATGACACCCAATATTCAGTTTAAAAGAAAGAATCAGTATCAGGGCCTTTGGCTTCTTCAGAGAAGCAGATTTCGGACTGGGTTCCTGATGACGTGTGAAAATATAGTTTGATACAGTGCGAATTATGTAACTGATAAGGTTCAGACAGTTTCCAAGTATTCGTCTCTTTTCATTTGTTATGATTAAGGAAATGGTTTTAGTTTTTTTATTTGTGATGATTAAGGAAATGATATAGTCTTTTATTTGTGATGATTAAAGGAAATGGTTTAGTCTTCTTTATTTTGTGATGATTAAGGAAATATTTTAGTCTCTTATTTGTGATGATTAAGGAAATGGTTTTAGTCTTTCTTATTTGTGATGATTAAGGAAATGTTTTTAGTCTCCTTATTTAAGATGATTAAAGGAAACGTTTTAGTCTCTTATTTGTGATGATTAAGGAAATGGTTTAGTCTTCTTTATTTGTGATGATTAAAGGAAATGTTTTAGTCCTCTTATTTGTGATGATTAAAGAAATGTTTTAGTCTTTTATTTGTGATGATTAAGGAAATGGTTTAGTCTCTTTTATTTGTGATGATTAAGAAAATGGTTTAGTCTCTTATTTGTGATGATTCAGGAAATGGTTTAGTCCTTTATTTGTGATGATTAAGGAAATATTTTAGTCTCTTATTTGTGATGATTAAGGGAATGGTTTAGTCTTTTTTATTTGTGATGATTAAGGAAATGTTTTAGTCTCTTATTTGTGATGATTAAGGAAATATTTTAGTCTTTTATATGTGATGATTAAGGAAATGTTTTAGTCTCTCTCATTTGTGATGATTAAGGAAATGTTTTAGACTCTTTTATTTGTGATGATTAAGGAAATGGCTTAGTCATTTATTTGTGATGATTAAGGAAATGTTTTAGTCTCTTATTTGTGATGATTAAGGAAATAGTTTAATGTTTTATTTGTGATGATTTAAGAAAAATGTTTTAGTCCCTTTCATTTGTGATGATTAAGGAAATGTTTTTAGTCTCTTTTATTTGATGATTAAGGAAATATTTTAGTCTTTTATTTGTGATGATTAAGGAAATGTTTTAGTCTCTTATTTGTGATGATTAAGGAAATATTTTAGTCTTTTTTTTGTGATGATTAAGGAAATATTTTAGTCTTTTATTTGTGTTGATTAAGGAAGTGTTTTAGTCTCTTTTATTTGTGATGATTAAGGAAATGTTTTAGTCTCTTATTTGTGATGATTAAGCAAATGGTTTAGTCTCTTATTTGTGATGATTAAGGAAATGGTTTAACGTTTTATTTGTGATGATTAATAACATGTTTTAGTCTTTTATTTGTGACCATTAAGGAAATTTTGTTAAATCAACTTACGAGCGGTAAACTGTGTCAGAGTGTGTCTGGAGTTTGAATCTTACCTAATTGGCTCTGTATTGTGAAATATGGTAATAAGGAACAAAATATTGGTGGAAGGGAGATAACTCCATTTTCTTTAGCGGTATGCAAGGTGAGCATGCTGCTGGATAAAGGGGAATAACTCTGGGGTTTTGAAGGATATTAGAAGGTTGTAAATTTTTCTCAAATATAGGCTCAACTGCACAGTATCAACAACCTGGACACTAACGCCAAACAGAGGTCGTATACCAACCCCCCCTTTTGTCCTGAAAGTTTATTAAATGACCATTGAAACTCGGGTGAAAATGAAGTGTGCACCCTCCCTTTTCTCAATAGTGTGCACAAGCATGGTTTCTGAACATTAATTCTAAAACAGATCTTCACGGGTTGTGGGTATATAGCTTGTGCTTCAATGTGCAACATCGTGTCACAATGCACAAAGTTTGCCTTCATCTTTCGATTCAGGAAGAACAGCCAGAAACAGCCAACTAAGCACTGTCACATTTAGACAGATACAACAGTTTAGCTTTCAATAAGCTGCAGTTGCAATGAGCCAGATGAAGCGACAGAGACCTTGGCTATCTGCAATGGTGCATGCCTCTTTCACACAGTTCCTCAGACTGTTTATTGTCTGATTATTATATGGAGACCTTTAGCTTGTAATAGAGATAAGATGAAGCTGATGAGGCTAGCCTTAGCGTTGTACGCATACCAGATGAAAGACTACACAACGCAGATGTGTGGATGACAATGAGCGCGGTGTGGATGGCGCCGACGGGACCGGATATATAGTTTAGCTATTTGCAGCCCTCCGCCGTGGAAAAGCAGACGGGCAAAGCATAGGCAAGTTTGTACTTCCTCCCGCGGGGATAGCAGGCAGGTAAGGCATTGCAAACTTTGTACTTCCTCCCGCGGAGACAGCAGGCAGGAAAAGCAGGCTGGTAAGGCATTGGAAACTTTGGTACTTCCTCCCGCGGAGACAGCAGGCAATAAAAGCAGGCTGGTAAGGCATTGGAAGGTTTGTTCTTCCTCCCGCGGAGACAGCAGACAGGAAAAGCAGGCTGCTAAGGCATTGGAAACTTTTGTACTTCCTCCCGCGGAGCCAGCAGGCAGGAAGGTTTTGGCTGCCACTGTAAAGGTAGGAGCCAAGTATCCATATTTTAAACTGATTTGGTGTTACGTCCCGTCGGCACCATGCCAAACGGCCCACATGCTGCCCACTGCTGGACAGCGGTCGGGGCTGCCATCCACAATGAGTTAAACAGTTAAAGGGGGAGTAGGGGATAGGGCGCAAAAGAGGTTTCTCTAATACTTAATTGCCATGCAGTGCTGCCAGAATGGCCCGATGTTGAGCCGCCATGCCCAGCTTGGATAAGTGCACTCCGATGAGGTACTGGGCGAGGCCCAGGCTACGTCGCTGCAGCCCGAGGTGTTATAACTGGAGCCAGTCACCCACGATGGCCATGCAACCTGTTAAGTTATATGTCATGTCTGGAGATGTCCTAGGAAGACTCAGATAACATGAAACTGTGGTGGGAGACGAACACTTTATTCCATGTTGGTTTTGCCTTGGCCTACACAGACGCACGCTGCCCATGGACCAGTCGTTGTGTACAGACTCTTAGGGAGTAATCATTATGCAACATCTCCCTTTCTTTAGAAAAGTAAAGATAGCAATTAACACACTATCCCAGCAAACAATTTAAACAAATGCTAAACAAGTTAAAATGAACAAATTAAAGTCTATATCTCTTTCTTGAGAAATTAAAAGTTTTTGCTGAAAAGCAGGACCACACGTCATATCTTCCTCCCTTTTTTTCTTTTTAAGGCACAAAGTCCCTGTATCGGGGTGGTGGTCTGACCACCCTGCCTCTCCTCGTTCTGATCTCATGACCAGGTGCTGTGCCATGAACAGAACTGTCCATGATCCTAGGAGTGTTCACAGGAGTGTTCACATCAAAGTCTACAGGAGTTTTCAAAATTTTCACAGGAGTTTTCACAAGGGTTTTCACAGGAGTGTTACCAGGAGAGTTCACAATTGACTGAAACTCTTTCATTGACCTTTCATCCATTCTCTGCTCTTCCAAATCCAGTTCGACATCTTTAGTCTCAGGGGCAGTCTCTTGAGATTTTCTTAGATGGTGTCTATTTCTCCGAAGAGATCTTCCATCTTCTGTACGTATGTCATACGATCGTACATCCACTTGCTGTTCTACAACAGCTTTCTTCCATTTCTTTTTGTCACGACTGAATGGCTTCACCCGAACTACATCTCCATCTCTCAGTTCTGAAAGTTCAGCTGCACCGCGATTGTAGTAGTAAGCTTGTTTGGACCTCTTGCTTGAAAGTGCGGCAGGGACGTTTTCAATAGTTTTTGGCTGCAGCAATCGACTTGACGTTGGTAGCTTCGTTCTCGTTCTGCGCCCAAACAACCTTTGAACTGGCGAGCTGCCTACACCGTCAGTCGGCACATTTCTTAAGTCCAAAAGGGCCAGAAAGGGGTCTGACTGTGCATGCTGAGACTTACTCATGGGTCTTTTGACGATCTTCACAGCACTCTCCACTTTCCCATTCGACTGTGGGTACCTGGGTGATGAAGTGATATGGTCAAACTCATACTCTGTTGCAAATGTATGGAAAGCTTCAGAATTAAAGGGAGGTCCATTGTCTGACACAATCTGATTGGGAAGTTAATGCCTCGCCAAATGGGATTTCAACTTTTTTAATGATTTCAGGTGCCCTTTTATCATGCAGTCTGTCAACCTCAAAATAGTCAGAGTAGTAGTCAACAGTTTCTCCCATGGACGACTAGGTATTTCATGACTGACCAATGGCTCTCTCGTCTTTGATCCTGTTGCAGCGTATTGCAAGTATCACACTTGCTGATGAAATCTGTGAGGTCAGCGGCCATATTGGGCCAATACACAGACTCTCTGGCTCTTCTGATACAACCTTGTATCCCCAAGTGACTGTAGTGAATTCTTTCCATGATGCCAGGGCGGATACTGACTGGCACAACAACACGTTCACCCTTGAACACTATGCCGTTTTGAACAGAGAGCTCATCGCGAAAGGGGAAAAAGACCCTGGCACACCATGGCACATCATCTGACGACGTTGGCCAGCCGTCCTGAATCAGATCCTTCAGTATCGTCATTGATTTGTCTTCCACAGTTGCTTTTTGTAACTGGTCAATTCGTTCCTCAGATATTGGCACATACTCAACCATGTTGATGGATTCAACGTCAAGCGCTGTCTGACATCGAACATCAACAGCAAACACATCTCCGTCATCAGTCTCAGTATGTTTCACATGTGGAAGATATGCTCTACTCAGAGTGTCAGAAAAGAACATTTGAGATCCCCTTTTGTAGATGACCTCAAAATCGTACTTCTGAAATCATTACATCATGCGTTGGAGACGCTTCGGAGCACACAACAGACTTTTGCGCAGTATTGACTCCAATGGCTTGTGGTCCGATTCCACGACGACCTTCCGTCCGTAGACATACTGTTCAAATCGTTCCATGCCAAAGACAATCGCCAACATTTCTTTCTCTATCTGAGCATATTGTTTCTCAGTGTTGGTCAAAGATCGAGATGCATATGCTACAGGCTGACCATTTTGGATCAGACAAACACCCAGTCCATTTTGTGATGTATCACACTGAAGGCTTGTCTCGGCGTCATTGTCAAAGTACTTCAGTACAGGTGGTTCAGACAGAATATGTTTGATTTTTTCCAAACAATTGCCATGAACTTGCTCATCCCACCTGAAGTTCACATCACTTTTCAGCAGATCCCTCAGAGGGTGCAGTCACTTCAGACAAGTTGGGTACAAATTTCTGAACAAAGTTCACCATCCCTAAAATGCGCTGAATACCCTGCTTATCCGTTGGTGTGGGCATGTTTGTGATTGCTTCAACTTTCATGTGATCAATCTTTAATCCATCCGAGGTTACGACATGTCCCAGATAAGGCACCTCAGTCAGTTTCAGTTTCAGTCTGGATCTGTTCAGTTTGATATTTCTGTTCCTGCATCGATCAAGGAACTTGGACAACTTCTCATCATGATCAGCTTCAGCCACTTCATAAGTGTCTCCAACACCATAGATCAGAACATCATCATGTACAGCACGTACTCCATCCAAGCCACATATTGCCTCATTCAAACGGCGCTGAAACTCCTCAGGTGCTGGTGACAACCCGAATGGCATTCGTAGCCAACGGTAACGGCCCCAAGGTGTTTCAAATGTTGTCAAGAAACTGCTTTCCTCCTCAAGCTGGATATGCCAAAATCCATTTTTAGCATCTGCTAAAGTAAAGCACTTAGCGTTTGATAATTCCGGCAGAATGTCATCAATTGTCTTTATTGGATAATGATTCCTCTTGAGAGCTTGATTCAGTGGTTTAGGATCTATGCAAATCCTTATCTTGTCAGTACCCTGTTTCTTGACCACAACAAGGGCAGAGATCCAGTCAGTAGGAACATTCACAGGGGTGATGATCTTCAGATCAGCCAGTCTTTCAAGTTCAGCCTTGAGTTTCTGTTGTAAGGCAAGTGGAAACTTACGACATGGTAGCTGGACTGGTGTCACAGTCTCATCTACTTCAAAACGCAACAAGCCATCAAGTGTGCCCTCTCCCTCAAATACATCCTTGTAACGATGGATCATGTCCGTCAGGTCCAATCTTGCTAACTCTGTAGAAACATCTCCACTACCTGAGATCTGGAAAATGTTCTCAAAGTTCACAGTGATCAACATTTGTTGAACAGCTATTGCACCAAGTATTGGTGGTGAGCCTCTGTCCCTCGTTATCAAGAATTCAATGGTGTATTCACCCTGATTCCTTGGATTTTTGACAGTCACTTCACACTTGCCAACAGTTTGAGATTTCACTCCATTGTACATTCGAAGAGTAGTATTGACCTGTGTTTCCAACTTTTCCAGGTGGGGATCCTGAAACACATTAGCGTAGATAGTCTCTGGCAACACATTGACAGTAGATCCACAATCTAACTGAAATTTGACCTCAGTTTCCTTGATGAGGAGGACAGCAAAAATCTTCCGTAAATACTGTTGACTTTCACAATGTAATTGAACACTGTTCACATTTTCAACATCCACTGATAAAATATATTCATCCTCAGTATCTTCATCACTCAGTAGTTGAACATTGGCTTGACTCGACTGGCACACATAAGCAAAATGATTTGGTCGTTTACATTTGTTGCAAATTCTTCCCCATGCTGGACATTCCTTCCTGCCGAACACATGACTGCGTCCACAAAATTTGCACTGTAGAGACTGATCACTTCTGGTAGTCAATCCAGGTTTAGTTTCCTTTCCTTTGGGTTTTTTGTAACCTCTAGTTTTACTGATAGCTTGCACATCCTCAGTGTTTGATAGAGATTTTAGTCTAGCAGCTGCTCTCTCATGGGACCTACAGACGTCAATACAATCTTTGAGTGATAGGTTCGAAGACTGCAGCAGTCTCTTGCGAGTGGAGTTATCACAAATGCCCATCACCATTCGATCCCTGATGAGACTATCTTCAAGCGTTCCATAATTGCATGTTTTAGCTAGAGACCTAAGTGTTGCTACATAAGTATCAACAGATTCAAAGTGTTCTTGATTCCGTTTGTTGAAATTGAACCGTTCCCATGTTTCATTGGTCTCGCCAATGCAGTAAGCTTCTAGTTTGTCCAATATTTTCTCGACTTTCCTCCTATCACTTTCACTGTCGAATTGCAACCCATCCAATATGTCTAGAGTCTCATAACCAATACAAGTTAACAGTGTAGCTGATCTGCATTCATCAGAATCTGTCTTTGTTCGAGAAGCAAGCTCATAGTTTCCCCACATTCGTTTGAACTTTATGAAATTTCTCGTCAAATCGCCCTTCAGATCAAGCTTAGGAGGCAAAGGAATGTTCATAGGTACGTGTATCACTTGTGGTGAAGGAATATTTCCACTTTCATCAGCCATGATTGAGTAGTAGTAGCAGTAGTTTCGCTTGTCCATATATTACTCACGACTAGCAATATAATCCGATTCACAGAAACTCCGTTAGTCACAGATTCAATATTGTCACACAAAACATCGCATGCTCTCCACTATCGAAATTAGGTGACACTGAACCACGTGCGTCTCGGCTCTTTCAATCAAAAGATATTCAGTCAGTAATGCACAACAATTTGTAAAGTTTGTCAGGCGTACTCACTTCTGACACCATGTTAAGTTATATGTCATGTCTGGAGATGTCCTAGGAAGACTCAGATAACATGAAACTGTGGTGGGAGACGAACACTTTATTCCATGTTGGTTTTGCCTTGGCCTACACAGACGCACGCTGCCCATGGACCAGTCGTTGTGTACAGACTCTTAGGGAGTAATCATTATGCAACATAACCCATAATTATTCACATTAGATTTGTGTGCCTAACCAAAGCATACGAATATACGCCCTGTAGGCATTAGATCTCCAGTAACCAAATTCCTGAATCTGAACTGCCAGAATTCCTTGTAACACTGCTGAGTTTGCTGCCCCTAACCGAAATGAATGAGAAGAATATAAGTTAATATTGATGGGTTGTTTTGCTGCCGTCAGCGTCTTCCTGAGCACTGCCTGAAACTGAAATCTTGTTAGAGGAGCCGAGTTAGTATGAATAAAGAGATACCCGTCTGAACGTGGTCGCACAGCCAAAAATCGCACCAGAGCTTTGACAGGGCATAGTATGGTCTGAGGGACTGCCAGAATGGCAATGCGTGTGCCGCGGCCCTGCTGGTCTAGTTTTGGAGGCCTGTAGGACCACCTCCACGTAGGATTGGTCGCTAGCAAAAGACATGTCCTTCAGCAAAACAGCCCGCTGTGACGTGTCGCTTATTGAACGGGCGACTACCTCACTTACCTTGAAAAAACAAAAACAAAGAATGTTAGTCGCTGATTGAACGGGCGACGACCTCGCTTACCCTGAAGAAAGAATGTTAGCAGGTGCGCTGCTGAAAACAGAGAAGTTTCATATGAAGACCTGCATACCCTGGGAAGGAGTTGCACAATGCGCGTTAGCAGATCAACTGTAATGGGCTGACGCGTGTCTGGCTGCCTTGCTATCCTGGCCATACCGGCAATGGCTTATTGCCAGATATGAGGGCTCGTCCAGGATCTGAACCCGGGACCTCTCGCCTGAGTTGTGGTTTTTTGTTTGTTTGTTTGTTGTTTGTTTTTTTTGTTTATAAAATTACACAGAAATGTAAAATATTAAATTTTCTATCCGTTGGTATAAATATAAGTGCAACCACCTCAGCGTTTTGGTTGAGAAACAGACCTCGCCAAATGTTGTCCACAATTTTGTTATGCGTTAAAAACAGTAAATTATTCCGCTTTTTATCGCGCACCGAAAAAAAGTACTGTGCTACGAATTTTTTAATTTGGCATTTTTACTGAAAGTGTGAGCTAAGAAAGTACAGCCCGATATACAAGTGCATACCAACTGGGTTTATGTGCTTACGCACAACGCAACACGCCCAACACCAAAAAACGACTCGCAATAAATGGCAAAACGTCAAACGACGACAGAGAGGTCATGCATGTATAATGATAAGGGGGCATAACTCCGTTATGCTTAACACTAGGTCAATGTAACTCAGATCACATGTAGATGATGTGGATATGGCCGCTATATATTCTTTATCCTTCGCCCATGGCGAACCAAACTATTCCAATTCCAAGTTCCCCAATGTGATCGGATACGCTTTGGCAGTTTCACAATTTACAAGAAAGATGACAACGCACCACATGCGAAAGCACGTAACAGCGACCCAGATGGCCCTATCCGAGTATATAAGTTAGTTCTTAGATTCCCATATTCTCCTGTGTGGATATATGTATTTTGACTAATTTTGCATCGTTATTACCAGAGTACTAGCCATATCTTCAAATGTAATGAAATTGCTGAAAATATTACCACATTTTAGTTGACGTCATTGCTTGCTTCACGCACCCTGCGATGTCGGAAGACGACGACCTTGGCACGCTGATCAGCATACATCTCACCCAATTTCCATTAATTGTATAGAAGGTCTCGGCTTCTATGTCATAATTAAACACTCTTTAGATAAAACATAAAATGACTGATTTTTCCCTTTAAATAGTGTCCTGACTATATCAACAATTAGACAGTTTGACTGTGTATCTTATTATGAGCAACACGCACACCTGTTTGGCATTAATTTAACGTAAATGAAAAATTAATATTTGGCAACACCCGAATAGTTTGTTAGGATGAGAATTTTCTTTCTTTATGATTATGTAGCTATTTTTCTTCATAAGTATGCAATGAAATATGCAAAAGATAGCCTTTATGTATGGAACTATATATTAGAATATGGATGTAAGATTTGTCCAAATCAACACATGGCATGGGTTTGTATATCTCCAAACAATGTTCCTATAAATGTCGTTAGAGAGTGATATCCTGTCATAACAATATGAATTGAATATATTTTCAAAAACAATGATAGTGAATCATAAAACGTTACCAACAAACGCGCACCTGGCCAATCAATATACGTCATTGTTTTGTATATAAAACGACACAAAAAAATGCAATGAACAAGAAAATTCCTTTAAATATATGTGCATATACATTTCATAACATATGTAAGTCATTTTCATTAATTAGTATCAGTTTACTTATAAGGTTGAATTAAATCGCCTATCATTAACCAGTCCATATAAAACTGCAATATTAGCCCAAATGCATTACACATTGTACATCATAGGGACTAAAGTAGTTGCAGCTATGGCTACGTTTCATCTTCTAAAGAGCACTCACATTGCAACCAATATTTACATGAAAACTGGTACCAAAAAATAGCCAATGATTCATTGATATCAAGAAGGTTGCTGCTGCGTTTGGCCAAAGCGTTTGTTAGACCCTTCCTGGACTACACGCATATATACTGTATGTTATACTGTCAGTTCTTTTGGAGGCAGAGGGAAGGTCAATGTGCCACCAGGTTTGATTGACTCACGTCAAGCATTCACATGCCACCTGTATGCCTCAAGTTCTTAAATATGGGTTGTCCATCAATTGGGCTACCACTTATTTAAGGTTAGAAAGGGGCAATTGAATCAGGACAATAGCCACCCTGCTTACATTGTCTATCTATGCACATCCTGAGAGCAAGTTATCAAGCTGCAATATGGAACAACTGTCTGGAAGCTGAATATCTAACAGATGGTCGTGGATGGGTGGAACAAAATGGTCACATGGAGATTTGCTGGATGACAGGACCTCTTGCTCAAGAGGCTGTTCTTGAGTTCACTTCTTGCAAGTTCACAACAGCCTGTAAACTGTAAACTGTAAAGTTGTCAATGCCTTACCAATGGACTGAAATGCACTGTGACATGTCGGAACCAGATTTGTGACAACATGGTATGAGAGGACCATGACATGCCATAGAGTGACACTGATGATGAAGCTGACGTTTATGCTGCGGAACAGTAAATATCACAAACCAATTTAAGGAACTTGAAGGTGCTCTCACTACTTGAAGTTAAAGAGCCGTCTTTAGAATAAATGAAATGATGAGTTTTCGAAAAAGTTGTTTGAGCTTACAATTTGATTTAAAGGTATCAAATAACACAACTTGATATTAATTAAATCCTTTTAATCATGTTAGCACTATTTGTACATCCCTATTTTCATTTCTAGCCTATTTGCTAAACTTAACTCACAATTAAAGCTTTGAATTGACTTTTTTTTAAAACGTTGGGTTTTTTGGCGGCCATCTTGGATTTAGCCTCGTTCTGAGTTTGAGCTACCAAACCGACATGGCCATCATACATTTTTGATATGTGGAGACAATAACAACTTCAACAAACATAAGAGCATTTGGTCCCACTGAGTGGTGCCGAAAAATTGTCTGGCTCATGGCCTATAAGCCCCATTTGTTACAAAACATGTGTAAAAAGTCTATTTTCTTTTGTACCTCGAGAACAGAGTCTGCAAAAGTACATAAATCATCAGCATAGAGAAGTATAAAGAACTCTAATAAATCTTCATGAACAAAGATCCCCCTGCCACCGAAATGCTGAATGTCATTTTCCAGCTGGTTTATGAACAATGAAAATAAAAGAGAGGACTCACAATGCATCCTTGTCTAACACCACTGAAACAATTGAAATGATCGTGATATTGCTCCTTGATATTTTAACAGAGGCCAAAGTTTATTGGGTTCATGTCCTTAATGATAGTAAAAACTTTACCATGAATATCATTTGAATAAAGGACATACCACAAAAGTTCCCTGTTGACGGAATCAAAAGCCTTTTGAAAATCGACAAATAGACAATAAAACCTTCCTTTCGATTTAGATAAGTACTTCTGTACTAGAGACTGGAGAGTAAACATGTTATCAACCGTAGAATACCCCTTCCGAAAGCCAGCTCTACACTCTGGGTATTTATCATACGAATCTACAAATGATTTTAATCTGTTATTCAAAACTTGTGTAAAAACCTTGCAACAAATATCCATAAGTGAAATACCACGAACGTTGTTGACATTATGAACGCTTCCTTTCTTGTGGAGTGGAAAGATAATACTTCTGGACCAATGATCTGGAAAATAACCACTTCTACCTATATTATTGAAAACAGTAAGGAGATAAGGAAGTAAGATATTTTTACCACACTTTAACATTTCGGGCAGAATACCATCGGGACCAGCTGCTTTGCCACATTTCAAGGCATCAGTTGCACTTAAGACCTCATCTACCGTAAAATCACTGTTCAACAAACTGTTGATATCCTGATCATTACAAACATTACAATTCACAGCTTTATGTTCTGTGACGACACTGCTACAAAATGCAACAAAATCCTTATCTATTACATTTTCAGTAATGTTCAGCACAGCCTTAAATATTCAATCCATTGTGCAACACTAATAGTTGAAAATGTTCCTGGAGGCTTTCTGATA